AAGCGAGTAGAGGCTATTTTACCAGGCTGCCAAAGGACAAATGTACCAGGGCTTCTGAGAAAGCTTTACTCCACTCTGGTCACCAAGTTCACCCTTCAAAGGGACGCGCACAGCTTTCCTGGGGTGATTTCTCCTGGGGTGCAAAGAAAGAGGTGGAAAGTCAGTTCTGATGAATAGTACTAGCTTGACAGGCTTTGAAATGGAAGCGTTCGCCTGATCCCTATACCAGATACTGCACAGCAGGATCTGCAACCATGTAAGCTTTCCCCAAACCCAACACACCCCTGCAACGAGGGTAAGGAGGGAAAAGGAAATTGAGTCCCTTAGTTCATTTTGGCCTTCATACAAAGCACATGGACTTCACTGAATCTCTCACTGACCAGCAGCAATGTGAGCATGTGTGTGTGTGTGTGTGTGTGTGTGTGTGTGTGAGTGCACATGTGTTGTAAGTAGAAGATGCTTGAGAAATTCTCCACTCCCCTGCCCCAATATGCATGTTACATAGCTCTGACTGTGCAATGACACCCCAGTCAACTCTGGGGGAATATTAGCTGATATCCTACAAACACCAGCAAAACTTTTCTTTTTGATGAAAAAAAGCAACAAGAAGAAAAATGCTATTGCTTCAGTGGTGTGCATTGACCTGCTGCTTGCACTGGAATTGCCAGCGCTTCATACAGTATTGGCATTTCAGAGGACCCCCAACACATGCACACATACATATACATATTCCTCCCAAGAAACTGCTGCAGTTAAATGGTAAGGTTGCCTGCCAGGCTTCTCACCTCAAAGGTCAGACCCCCTTCCTCCCAGGATGTTTTGCACACTGCTCCCCTGAGCTGGACTTGCCATATGGGGCAGCTAATGTGATCTTTTTTTAAAGTGCCTGTTACGCTATGCGTACATAGCTATGTATTGCTTCTGTCCAGCAGAGTCTGATGGCTCTTTAGTGACCACAGATGAATAAAAATAATCTCCATGCTGACCCTGTCTCCTTCTTGGCAAGCCACACAGCACTAACTGCAGGACTGACACTCATGCAGAGACCCTACAAAGAGCCAAAGCCAAGCCCCAGTGACGGCTCCTCCAGGAGGGAACCTGCAGCCTTTCTTCCCACACAAATTAATCATGCCTACTGCCTCTCATAGTCTACTGCTTGCAGCTAGCTACTCACAGAGCCTGCTTGCATTTTAGGGCCAAACTCCTCTCTGTGGCTTTACTGGCTCATCTGAAGACAGCTGACCCCAGCCAGGATCTGGAGTCTTTCA